TATTGTGCACATGCATAGAGATGAGACTGAGTATAAGTTGGGCACGTGGAGATCGTTCGTGCTGGGGATGGTGAGATGTTAAGATTGTAATTTGGGCACGTGGAGACCGTCCGTGTGAAAATTGTTTGATATTATGATAGTGCGTTGAGATCGTCTGCACAGACACGAGGAGATCGTCCGTGTCGGTATATGGACCTCGCGAGTCCCCCATGGGTCATGAACTCTCGATGTATTTCCGAGGAGTATCATGTATATACAGTTGAGTGAATACTGGGTATTCTGAGACATATCATTACATGGCATCATATTGCATTGCATTTCATCCCATCATTCATTCTTGATGACTATATGTTTCGTTTGGTGTTTGGAAAATATTAAATGTTGATTTCCTTTATTGATGAAACTTAAATAGTAAGTGTAATATATATATATATACTTGTACAATCTAAGAATTTATTTTCTTATATAACTCCCGTCACTACTTCTTCGTTGTCGGTCAATGAGACATACTGGGTACACGTGGTTTCGTACTCATATTACGCTTGTTGCACTCTTTGTGGTGCAGATTCGATTCCGAGTAGAAGCACATCCCGTGGAGCAATTTGAGTCCAAGCTTGGAGTTGTGGTGAGCTGCTTGGCTGTTCCGTGGCCCACACCTCCCTCTATCTTTTATTTATTCTGTTATTAGTATTCAAACAGGATATCCCTTATGTTAGATTTGTCATTTAGTTTCAGACTTGCATCGAATTTTAGAAGCTCTTGTACTTAAGACACCAATTCTTGGGGTGATATATTTTATTCTTCCGCATTTCGTACTTATAAGGAACTCAATGTTGGAGATTCTTGCTAAGCGTTGGTCTTTTTACTCATTTGTTGGTTTAGTTGGGTTAATATGTTGGGTTGTCTTACCTATTGGTTGGGAACATAGGTGCCATCACGACTTGCAAAATTTGGGTCGTGACATTATATCAGCAATAAGTTTTTTTTTTGTCACTTTATTATTATTTTCATGGATTTTGCCCTTATATTGTTATCACCGGATAAAGACGAATTTAAAATTTAAAGATTTTGAAATTTCACCATTTCATATGTGAAATATCATTCACTAATAATAAAAATCAAATATAAAGAATGGATCGTGTCAATTAATTTTGGATTAATTCGATTAGATCTTTAATTTTATTCGTAAAGAAATATATAAATTCAATAATTTTGTTTTTTCTCACATTTATTTAATATATTTACCTAGATTCTAGTCTAGAATAAAGTTGCAAAAACAAAAATCAATAATTCTAGCAAGAGCACTGTTTGCAACAAATTTTAAAGTGATATAATTTGAGTTGAGCATAATTTGTAGAGTCTCAACTCGAATTGAACATAAAGTCTCACAAAATTTTAATGTCTACAAGCACATCTAATTAGAAAATTTTCTCAAAATGTAGCTTAATTTAATTTGTAGATATTTTTTGTTTGACTAGATTAATTTATCTTCAAATATTCTTGAATTAGTTTTTCTGTTTTTAATTATCAATTTTTATGTTAACTATTTTGAACCAAAAGCTCCAAAATTTTAATCATTGAAAATGAGTCCAAATGTCTAGTAAACAAATTTTATACTCCAGTATAGATCAATATAGTGTCAAAAAGATAAAATATATGTGTTAAATAAAATAAATTTAAATTGTTCGTTAAAAGTAAAACTTACATAAATATACTAAAATAAAAAAATATTTACCATTTATAGCAATAATATCTTTTTTTCACTTGATCACTTTTAATTCATTTTTAATACAAGTTTAATACATATTACAAATAACAATTTATTATTCATATATAATACAAATTTTAATAATGGATAATACATTTATCGCACATTTTAATACACTTATAATACAATATGTCAAATTTTTACCAAACAAACATAATATATTTCAAAAAACAATTATAATTCATATATATTGCATACATAATTCACTTTTAATTCATATTGTAGATTTGACATAGCATTGTTATAAATGGTAATAAATAAAAAGTATTGCTAAAATCAGTAATTATTTATTAAAATGTACTAATTTATGTAATTTTTACTTCTCAATATACAAGTCAAACATTATTCTAAAATTTATTTTATTTTACGATGATTTTTTTAATCCTAAGTTATTTATAATGTTGAATTAAGTCGAATTATTATTGCATGCAAAGTATCCACTTGAAAATATTCATGATAGGTATTCATACATGGTCACATAATTGTGATTAATTTTCACCATAATCGCCTAATTATATTTTTTTTAAAATTATAAAGTTTTGCCTTAACTAACACAAAAATCACATATACCGAAAATCTATCTTGTTTATAAATTCTTCTTTTATATATATATATATATATATATATATATATATATATATATATATATATATATATATATATATACATTATATCAGCAATAAGTTTTTTTTTTGTCACTTTATTATTATTTTCATGGATTTTGCCCTTATATTGTTATCACCGGATAAAGACGAATTTAAAATTTAAAGATTTTGAAATTTCACCATTTCATATGTGAAATATCATTCACTAATAATAAAAATCAAATATAAAGAATGGATCGTGTCAATTAATTTTGGATTAATTCGATTAGATCTTTAATTTTATTCGTAAAGAAATATATAAATTCAATAATTTTGTTTTTTCTCACATTTATTTAATATATTTACCTAGATTCTAGTCTAGAATAAAGTTGCAAAAACAAAAATCAATAATTCTAGCAAGAGCACTGTTTGCAACAAATTTTAAAGTGATATAATTTGAGTTGAGCATAATTTGTAGAGTCTCAACTCGAATTGAACATAAAGTCTCACAAAATTTTAATGTCTACAAGCACATCTAATTAGAAAATTTTCTCAAAATGTAGCTTAATTTAATTTGTAGATATTTTTTGTTTGACTAGATTAATTTATCTTCAAATATTCTTGAATTAGTTTTTCTGTTTTTAATTATCAATTTTTATGTTAACTATTTTGAACCAAAAGCTCCAAAATTTTAATCATTGAAAATGAGTCCAAATGTCTAGTAAACAAATTTTATACTCCAGTATAGATCAATATAGTGTCAAAAAGATAAAATATATGTGTTAAATAAAATAAATTTAAATTGTTCGTTAAAAGTAAAACTTAC